TTTAGGAACATGTATCCTGTTAAGATCTTTGAAAAGTAAATGCTTTATCTACATTTGCTTATGTGGGCACCCTTTGTGCAGCTACTTTTCTGGATCTTAAACTACCACAGTGGTTGAGTGAGATTCAGCAACTAATTAGTGTGGCAACATTATAATTAATGGGGATAAATTTGAAAAATTGAATTGTGCAACTTCCACTGTTATGAAGACAAAAGTATCATAAATGCAGGATGCAGCTGTGGTAGTGATATATCTGAAATGGGAGCAAATATTATTCACTAAGTCTGTGAAGGAAAAAATTGTCTCAAGGCTACGCAGAAGGGTGTTCATTTGTGCCAGCTTTTTATTTGAGTGGTTGTCTGTCTCTTGGCAACCTGCTGTCTAATAATTTATTTGCATGTCCATGGGGCATTTGGTTGGAGGAGGGACAGATGTTAGTACAAGAGTAGACCTTGTATCAATGCTTGATGCCAGTGACATGGAAGGCAGACTCTCAAAGGGTCTTGTATATTGGTGCTATCTAACCAGTCACAGAATTCAGACTGTTTGCCCTTACTTCTGTCTGCTGGGCCTCAGAGCTAGGATTGACATTACAGGAAGCATTTCTCAAATTTATTTTTAGGGAAAATGCTAGATAGCTTTTGTTGTCGCTTTAGTAGTTGCAGGCATGCTATGCAGGTAATATGAAATCAGAATTTAAGTAGTCTGGGAGAAAAAGTCTGTATTCAGAAATGAGCCACACTGTGGAGAAATTTGAGAAGTGCAAACACTTTGAATTTCTATCAACCAGAGTAAGTCATGGAAGTGGTGAGTAAGGATAAATCCCCCAAAAGAAATTGCAAACTAGGCAAACCCGTAATATTTTGTAAGGGATCTGTGCTGCTGTTGCCAGTTCCTGGTACTGCCCTGGTCAAAGCAGACTGACGCATGTTTGAGTCACTGCCCTGCCTGCTGCATGTTGCTGGGGCAGGGCCTGACTGAGTGGCAGATTTTCCCACTGGGCCTTTTACTGTCACCTGCCCGTCACTGACACTTAGGAGGCATGGGCTGAGTTGTTCTCTACATCTAAAGAGTCGCCTATCTATCTCCAGAAGAGGTATTTAGTGACTTGACCAAAGCTTGGCTATTCTGCCCTGGTGCATGGGGATCAGGCCCTGGTTTAGCCATGCTGCAGTTCAGGTTCCCAATGTGCTGTACGTGGTAGATGAAAGATTCCCTGGTCTGCTTCCAGGCAGGGGAGCCAGGAGGTGGGAGCGCACCCAGTGACAGTGTCAGCCCTGCCGGGAGCTCTGATTGGGATACATGCAGCAGAGTTTTTGAAGCTGACAGGGAACCACTCTTTAAGAGTGCATCAGTCACTTGAGCACACATGGGACAGGAGACAAGGCACCAAGATTTCCAGCACTGTGCCCAGGTGGGAGGGGAAAGGCATTTATCCCATTCCCACTTTTGTCTCTGTATCCCAAATGGCAAGGAGGAAGTGGCAGTTGTGACTGCATAGTCTGTATAGCGTGGTCCCAAACATAACTCTGGTCTGGACCAGAGCCCACCATTTAGAAAAACATCTCATCCTGATTAAAACATTCCTGTGGTGGATTTGCCACCCGGATTCTTGGTACATGGTTCCAGTAATTAATTACTGTGACTGCAAAAAATGCCTGCCTTATTTCTAGACTGAAGCCTGGATGGGAGTGCAAGGTCTGTGTCTGAGAGCAGGCAGATAAGAATGCCATCTGGGCAGTATTTGCTCTGCTCCCTTTCATATTCAGCTCTACCTTTTCTGCAGCATCTTCTGTTTCTAGGATTTGTTAGCTGGCCTGAAGGAAACTCACAGCATCAGTGCACGCGATTATCCCCTGATATTGAAGGTTGTGGGAGGTATCAAGAAAAACAAGTGATTGTCCTGTTGAGTGCATAGCATGTTTGGAAATACAGTCCTAATCTCCTGATCTTTAACTTCTAGCCCATGATTCCTCTTACACTTGATACTATCTTAATACTTTTTGCTGTCCTTAACATTTTATAACAATGCATTATGCACTCAGTGTAATAAATGACAGTAAGAATGACAATGAGCTCACAGCCGGAACCGCAGGAATCCCTCCAGCCCACGTGCCACTGCACCTGCATCCCTCCTTTTCATTTGGTCTTCCAGGCACGCAGTAGCAGCAAGATTAGGGAAATGAAAAGGAAGCACTAAGACAGCTTTGTGCATACACCTCGGATGTGTGGGGGCTGAGGACCTCTGTGTCTAATAAGCAGAGGATCAGCATTATCTAAAGCCATGACAAGCCATGCAGCAGAAGGACAGCACAGGGGAAATGCCAAACATAAACTCAGGTGGAAATCAGGAGACATAGTTTAGACATATCCTAGTGTGGTTAAGACAGTGCACCTCTGAATACATGATGAAGGTTGTTCATCTCTATAGATGGGGAGAGACACAGAACTATGATGACAACAACAACTTTCCATTAGCAGTTCTTTCAGTATTAGAATAATTTCTTTATATTGGAGCAGTTTATATTGGAGCAGGAAAGAACACAGGAAATCTCATTCAAAAATAGTCTGATCTTCATTCTGGCCCTGAAGGACAGGGGATAACTTAGGGAGAAATTGTGATTGCCGTAGTCTCATTGATTTCAATACATCAAACAGTCCAATATATTTGCTATTGATATGACTGGGAAAAGCATTTGGTCCATAACTTTAATTAACAACTCAATATTCTAAATATTCAGATATAAAACAAAAACAGAAAGTAGAATTGTCCTCTGATGATCTCTGTTATTCCGTACTTCCATATACTTTTCGTTCTGTGTTTTTAATTCATATGATGAAGTTTTCAGACAGAAGTGGATGTCACGTGTAAGCTGAGTTCTTTGTTTTTGTTTTTCTTTTGCCTATCACTGGCTGCATGTTCTCTGTTGATGTCTTGTTCCTGGTACTTGACACTGACCATCTTGTCTGTGAAAGGAAGCACTCCAGCTGACTTGCCTGATAAGAAGAAAGGGAAGTTTGCTTGGTTTAGTCACTCCACAGAAACCCATGGTAATGTTCCACTGCACTCTGTGTCCACACTGTGTGTAACTGTGTGCGTTTTGTTTATCTCTATACCTACCTACATATAATGATGTGTCTTTATATATTCATGCATGCGCATGCCTTGCTTTTTCTGTTACTTGTGCAGTGTCCTCTTCATGCACTCAAGATAATGAGCTCTTCCGTAAATCAGTTTCTTGCTAATGTCTTCAGAATTGTTTTCCATTTGCAAACAAGCTCAAATATGTCATGGAAGTGCTTTACCTCATCTTTGAAAATGACTTGTCAAATACAATTTTTTCTCCTAAAGCGCTTAGACAGGAAATGTTAATCATAAGTATGGGTTTTTTTCTTACCTTGTTCTTTCTTATGCAGTAAAATATGAATTTAGTTGATTTCGTAATTTGTTTTTGCAAACAGATTATACAATTAAAACATCTACTCTTTGTAAAGCAACAAGCACCATTAGAGTATTTCATGGCTGTGTAGAGAGTGCAAGGGAGACCATTACTTCTTACGGTCCCAACATAGTACAAGAACCTTTGATTTCCGAAGAGGCACTTTACAGACTCTTGCATTGTTGGGATTAGATAAAGGAAATACAGTACGTTTTGGAGAGCCAGTTCTACAGTGATATTTCCAACACAGGAATGCACGACCTCTTTGGCAGGATCCTGATATCTTTCTAGCTTTTAAAAGAAGACTTGATCGCAAGGCCTATTAGACTCCTGTCCAGTTGAACTGCAGAGCCTGTTTATTCTCCATTGTTTCCTTTGGCTCCGGGACACACAAATAGATATGCTCATATTAATGAATAATGTATTCTGAGAAGCTATTAAAAGCAGTCTCCAACAGCTAATAGTACATGCTGTCAAGTCTCATCTGAGATATATAGCCAACAGCTATTGCATGTCTTGCTCTGAAGTTCTGCCAGGCATCTGAGAGATCTGCCCAACTCTTCTATTGTTCAGTTTGAATGAGATTTTATTTTATTTTATTTTATTTTATTTTTGTGTGTATTTGAAAAGGAGCAGGGTGAGAAAGAAGATACATATATTGGAGTGTCATCCTTGTACTACTCTATTGGAAAGGTTTTTTATTGATGAGTTGTTTCAGTTCACCACACAAGGGATAGGAAACCTGGGAACAACTGGTGGAAAGGGAACTGGGGGATGAGGGGTGGAGGGCTGTGTAATATATATAAGAGCAAATATTCAGGGTTTGATAACACCTGATTTTTGACAGCCCTTTGAATCAGCAGGAGACAGGTCCAGACTTAAGGTCGCTTTCGTTTGTTGGCTTATTTATTTCATGGCTTTTCTATAAAAGCCTAGGAGACTCTTCCCAGTTCTTAGTTTATGGGTATCTAAACAAAACCTCCGCAATGAATCTTTTGTTATTCAGTTTCTAAGTGTTAAGTTTGAAGCACATTAATGGGTAGTATGTGGCAGATGAGCAACCAGTATTATTTATGTGGTACCTGCTTTCAGGATAAACAGAAGACTTGTCTGAATACCTGTATATCTGGTACTTTTTATTTGTGCTCCACTTATCACAAGAGAAGCTGGGGAGGGCAGTGACTGAGAATCTGACTGGTGCCAGTAAAGTTTAAGTGTTCCACTGAGTCAAACAAAGGCTTCTTTGTTGGTTTTGCCAAGTTCTCTAATTTTCAATGGTTCTTATTTTCCAAATTTTCAGGAACTGACTCTCAAAGAAAGAGAGCAGCTGCTTCCTCCCCTTTCCTTAGCATTTGGGTAACCTGCATAAGTTCTTAAGCTCCACCTGCCCAGCCCGTCCTGGGCAGGGAGACAGCAGACTTGTTCAGCAAAGTGTTTATTACTCAAGAGCTGCAGCTGAGTATCTTTTGATTAAGCCAGTTCCTTCACTGCCACATGTGACTAATAGGTGTTTGGATTCTAATGGCCAACCCTTTCTTTTCTTCCCTTCCACTCTTACAGTGAGCATGCCCACGAGTGAGACCGAGTCCGTGAACACAGACAACGTCCCAGGAGCAGATATGGAAGGCGAAAACTGCGGTGCTAGGCTAGCGTGAGTACACACGCACAGGGATTTGTGCGTAGGGGCTGGATTGAGCTGGGGGGGTTAATACCAGGGCAAATCCCAGGCTTTTTTAAAAGGGAGAAAACTATACAATGGGGGAAAGGAAAGAGAGCAGAAGATCTACTGATCCTGGTTCTTTATCTTAATTGCAATGTAAACTCACTCTGGATCTTAGTGGAGAGACTCTGGGGTTACGCTGATAAAAATAAAGCACAGAATTCTCAGAATAAGCAGAGATGGTTTTGCATAATAGCTAAAAGAATAACTGACGGAAAACAATATTCTTTATGTAAGAAAAAAAAAAAGCTCTATAGTGGTAGATAATCAAATCAAACATATGTAGACCAAAGAGTGGAAATAATGTTCTATTTTAATTTCTCCAGTGATTCTTGTACATTTTAGAGAGTCTTGTAATGGAAAAATACGATAAGTCCCATCCTGCAGCCCAAATTACCCCTTCCAAGTTTGAACACACCACTGTAGTGATAGAGAAATACGTTAGTTAGCAGGGGAGTAAGGCTTCGTTGGAATTGCACCATTGTATGCATTGGGCACACAAAAATGTGTGAAACAAAACTTATGGAAGCATTTATAATGTATGGTATGTTTTTAGTAGCACAGAGAAAAGTGATAGGCAAGAGGAGTCCTATGCTTTTTTGCATGACTTAAGACTGGACCTTATGCTTTGGGGGAATGTTCCAGATTTCCCTGGAAGATGGAGTAAGCACATCGCTGTTATTGCTTGAATGATGCTGGAGTACTTTGAGGAAGTGTTTTGTCCCAGGGACATACCTGGAGCTCTTCGTGCTGCTCAGTTGCTGATCATATGTACCTAAGAAATGCCTTCAGTCGAAGCTGTGGTCCTCTTCGCTCAGTGTTCGAGTCCTGGCAGTGACAATAGGGCAAGTCAGTGAGCCTGGGCATTTCCTTTGCTCCATTCCCCTTTTACTACCCCCAAATTCATGTCTATTAATCAGAGATGTTAGGGGGCACACTTCTGCCTCTTCATTTTAGTAGACATTTGTAGCCTTCTTGTCCATGGATTTGTTTGATTCCGCTCATGCTGTCAGCCTCTACAGCCTTCTGTGGAAACATGTTTCCAAAGTTCACCTGCTGTGTAGAAAGGTATCTTCTTATATCTGTTTCAAGCTGATCTGCTAGTTTCACTGAAAGCCCTCTTCTTCTAATGCTGAGAGTTTTGGTGAACAACAGTTCTGCATTACGCTTATACATCACTTTCATGACTTTGTAAGCCTTGATTTTATCTCCTCAACACACCCCTTGGCCTTGTCCTCTACAAGTTGAAGAAGAGCATGAGATCTTACCTGCATTAAAAGATATATGTGGAATATTTTGTAAATTCAGTCTGCTCTGCTGCAAATGTCAGCTTACAAACCCTCTGAGAAATTGTTTATGATAGCTCTCCTTCACCTGCCAGTTGAGTTGCCTGCCAGCTGAGTCTGGCATTATAGTTTAAATGATGAACTCTTTTCTGAAGGAACCAGATTAGGCCTATTCCCAGTGCTAATGCAGTTGTAGCCCTCCTTTTAGCACCCCATCAAGTTGCATATGCTCTTGTGAAGCAGCAGCTGGATATGTGACCACTCCTGTAAGCTGGATCCAATTTGGAGAACCATATCTATTCTTCAGTTACAGTGCCAACACAATGGGTCCCCTGGTGCTGCACAGTGCCAACACAATGGCGACTGTTACTATAAAATTGCATATATTTTTAATATTGCAGCTTACATTCACTTAATGTCCTTACTTCCAAAGGATCCTAAAGCACTTAATGGACTTTATATGCATGGTTTGCTTTCACAGTGTTAAGAGTTCAACCACCTTCACAGTTAGATGTGATAGGTGTTTAAAAACACAAATAGAAGAGGCACAAATGTATAAAGAGTTGTATGAGAGATGACTTGTTTTGCACTGAGACTACATGGGGAATTTTGGCAAGTAGAACTAATTCTAGCTGGAATGTAGCCAGGAGAATTGAAGTTAAACCCAACTCTAAACACAATCATGGCTTAGAACAGATTTCGCTTAAAATAGACCAACGTGTCCACAAGAGGATGAGAGTGCTGTGGTCTGGCACAGTGATCACTATACCCATGTACCTTGCTACCCTATGTTTCACCAGAGCAGTACATGTAAGGTTCGGGGAGATGATAGACAGTTTCCTTGCCTCTTGCCACTTCATTCAAAAATAGGTAGCATATAGCAGGGAGTTGGAGTCTGTTACTGAGAAGGGGTTTTTTACTCTTTTCACAAGGACAGTCTGCATTCTCAAGGCCCCACAGAGATTGCTTTTCATCTCAAGAAGATGGATGGACTTCTTCCAACCAGGAAAACAAATGGCTGTATCGTTGCATTTGAATGTCTGGACTTTGACACAAATTTTATCCATGGTTCCTGCTTTTATAAAGTGTCTGCTTCAAATCTGTGGAGCTGAAAATTCCTCAAGGAAGTGTAAATTCAAATCTGCCCTGAATTTTAAGGCCTAGACTCTTCTGGTTTGTTTTGTTTACTATATCAAACTCAGACAGAAAAAACAGGAAGAACTTGCCTTTCTCTGAAAGTATTAAGTCCTCATCTTCCTCATCTTCCTACTCATCTTCCGTTAAACATCCTATAGGCCAAAGTTCCTCCTGGAACATATGAAATGAGTGTATCAGAACTTCACTGAATGAGTATTTGCCTTGTGTGAAACCTAAGAACATCAGAATTGGCCCAATAATTTCAGCATTGCTGAAAGAGAGGTATGATTCTTGTGCGAAGCTGCCTGAGCTTTTCAAATAATTTGCTCATCTAATGTTGGTAACTTTCGGTGAACATTAAGAATTGTAATCAAGCCATCCCTATTTATTCCAGCTAAAGATTAGGCTCAGACTTTTGAGCCGTCATCTGCCCTCTGGATTTTGGTTTTGCAATTGAAATGGCCAGACAAGTTTTTGTTGGATTGATGAGCTTCATGTATTTTAGATGAATTTTTATTTTTACCAGCCTGATAAAATCACTTAGTGGCTCTGAGTCCCCATTTTCTTGCTATAAACACATTTTTTTCCAAAGAGCATAGACTGCACCGGGCAAGCTGCAACAAACATGACTGAAGCAACGGGGAGCTTTCAAGTCAAAGACAGATACATTTATTTATCTAGTGGCATTAGGATGGAAAAGTATTTAACCCCCATCATGGAACAGGCTGACCTTGCCATCAGAATGTGCACATGATAAAAGGAGAAAATGATCAGGCATCTAAAAGAAAAAAGATTTATATTGAAGATAAATTAGAATTACTGGCCGTTCTTTCTATTCTTACACAAAGCTGCAGAGCTTTGAAAGGGTCTGTGGATGACAGAAAGATCTGCTTGAGAAAGCAAGCTCAAGCATCTCTTTTGGAACTGGAGATCTTCCCTGACAGCCTTTCTCAGCTCTCTTAGACACATATGCTATGTGAGATCAGGAAAGTACCTCTTGGACACAGACTATCTCCTACTGAGGAATTGTCTCCAAAGAAGCCTTTACTTCTATAGTATCTATACTATAGAAACTGCCTTCATCAGCTGTGCTCTCTGGACCAATGCCAGTCTTCAAACCAGCAGAAGGAGTTTCAGGAGGAATCTAAAAGGCCTTCTCTATTTGCTCACTGCATACATTCAGTTTCTTAGAACTAAAACAACAACAACAAAATATCATGTTCACCTCTGATATAATGCTGCTGCTACTGGGAGAGCTGAAACAGACAGTAGTTCCTTTCCTAAGACAGGGATTAGCTTTACCAGGCTTTTGGGATACTGTGCATTTGGAAAGTGGTTTGTCAGGTTGTGCAGGAGACTGAAAAACATCCTACTGCTTCCCCACTGTATCGTCCCTGTCATGATGTTGCCTTATATTGCACTGACATCTGCCCTGGACCAGAAACGCAACAGCTTTTATCCTCAAGGACAACATTTGTAAGTGGACCTTTAACTTCTTATGTGTCACAGTTTTAAACCTATGTTGTCCCTGGAATAAGGAAATACGTTTCCTCTACAGCACGTATCAGTACGATAAAGCCAGGCCTAGGAGTAATGGATTTCTTTATACAGAACAGCATTATATACCTGGGTAAGGAAGACCTTATACCCAGGGCTTCCCGATAGACTTCCCAGTTTCTTTGAGCTTCTGTGGTTGCTGCTCTGCAGGTCTTAGATTACTGAGAACGAGCTGTTGCTTACAATCGATAGAAGTCTATCCAGTGCAGACTGTCATTGTATGTAATCTTCCAGTACAACCAGGATGTTAATTTTCTGACACAACCATACAGATCTGAAGTGCCACAATAGGACTTGCCTTTATGCATATGTATTAGCTAAAGAAAGACATTTGTGGAAACTGATGTTCCATGGAGCCACATCAGAAAGCTGAAGCACTTGTGCTATAAAGGAAAGAGAGCTTAGAATGATCTGCTTTCACTGAAACAATAGGCCATTTAGCATTTTCACCTTGGCCGGGATTTCCATACAATTGGCAGACAGTTCAATTACATTTTCACCAAAGAGGGTTAAAACGATAAAGCAGTATGAACTTTACAACTGGAAACACAGTGTCCTGAACATCCTATGAACAATGAAAGCTTTCCCTGGCAGCTGAACCATCAGTGATTTTCCCTTGTTGTTTTTCTGGCTGGCAAAGTAATTCCTATGCAGCTCTTGCAACACTCAGCATGGAAGCTGGTGGTAAGGAGGAAGGAGTCAGTTTGCCTGCATGCTTGTCATTTGCCACTTTTGCTGCTGTTTTTTTTTTTGCTAATGAGGATATAGTGTCCCTCTGTGAAGACCAAAGTTTCCATCACATCAGGAGCAATGTAAGAAATCTCTGCCAAAAGCTCTGAAACTACTGCTGAAAAAAACACACAGGATGAGCCCCTTCGTGTTAGCCTCAGCTAACATGCTGAGAAGAGAACTCAGGCACTTGCAAAGGTTCTGCCAACCTTTGGTATCAGAGATTGAGGACTTTTTTGTAATTATACACATAACAAACAAGAACTCGGGAAGAATATTGTAGGTGTCCAAACATCATATATAAGCCATGTACAGTTGTTTTCTGTATTGATATTACTACATGTGACCGTGTGACCATGCAATTATTTGGCAGGCTGGTCACGAAACTTACAAAATCCTTTGGGTACTACTGAAAGCTCTCAGAAGAGCCCTGACCCAGAAAATTCTCTTCCCTTTATTATAGGCACATTGTTTTTGATAATCACTGTCAGCCCTAGATATGTGTCTGAAGGACAGTGGTATGCCCTTATGGAGGAGTTTTCTTGCCACCTCAGATTCTGAGAGGCCTTCGCCGTGACTTGACACAGGGAGAACAGGATTATCCACTAGGTTCTGGAGTGTTGTGTTTTTGTTGGATAACAAGCCACCACAATTTTTAGCAAGATGTATCCAGTTCTCATAGGGTGGTTTTCTAGATTTTTATCGCTGCTGGTCAGCAATCATATTTCTCTTAACTTGCTTCACTCCATTCAGATCAGCGTGCTCTTCAGTGTGCATCCCTATACAGCAGCCCTGTGTTAACTGCATTATGCACGGGATAGCAGGTTCTTCACTGTGATTCTCAGAGATATACCTCAGGGAAGACTTTAGCCCTAACACTTAGTTAGGCTTTGAGATTACCAGGACTGAAGCATGCATTCCTAGAAGTGTCTTGTCACTATATGTTCTTGTCCCATGAATGTGTGGAAAAGGACCATAGGTGACCATCTTTTCTTTTTTGCAAGGATTCCAGCATCCTGACTAGAAGTGAGGAATTCTTCTCTCTCTCCCTCCATCAGCAGGGAGACAGAGAGGAAAAAAGTGCTTTCCAAAGACTTGTGCATCTTGACCAGTAACAGCAGAAATGCACTATATTGCACCAAAGCAGAATCAATATCACAACAGGACTCTGTTCTCACAGTTCTAAAATCTCTGGCGAGCACAATGCAGCTCTTTGGACGTGACGTATCTCCAAAGTTGCTAGAATTTAGAGGCATTGTAAGAGAATTTTCTGGGTCAGGGCTCTTCTGAGAGCTTTTAGTAGTACCCAAAGGATTTTGTAAGTTTTCGTGACCAGCCTGCCAAATAATTGCATGGTCACATGGTCACATGTAGTAATATCAATACAGAAAACAACTGTACATGTCTTTTATATGATGTTTGGAGACCTACAATATTCTTTCCGAGTTCTTGTTTGTTGTGTGTATAATTACAAAAAATGTCCTCAATCTCTGATACCAAAGGTTTGCACAACCTTTGCAAGTGCCTGATTTCTCTTCTCTAGTGTACATCATGACCAGAAAAATGAAGACTTTAAGGGATAACTCACCACATATGAATTATGCTGCTTATCTTGAATTTATACTGATAAAATCTTTAAATTTCATTGTCCTGACTATATTTGTTGCATAGCTAAGTAAGATTAGAAGTCTAAAGAATTGAAAAGATAATGAGTTGAACAGTAAAGGACTGTTTTTTTGTTCTGTTTCTTTCTAAAAGATAACCTGAATTATGATAAAAGCTCTTAACAGTGTTCTGAAATGGGTTTTTTATAGATTCTAATAGCATAATTTTAAAATGCAGTTTGTCAAGACATTCCAGACCTGTACACAACAACTGGGGAAGCTCTCTTTCTCACAGTGCCATAAAGCTCCCAGGATTCAAGGGTTGCAGCAGATCAGTAGTTAAACTCATCAATATAGAAACTGGTCCACATTGAATCCTAGGCAAGTGCAAATTTGGAGTGCCACAAAGAAGCTACAGCAAGGTCCCAAATCCAGAGTTTCTGCCATTTGCCACTAGCAATAGCGTAAGAATATGTTTGTATATTACATAGTTAAGTGGGTTCAGAAGGACAGAAGATGATATGGGTCATTTGAAAAATGTGTTTCAGATTAGAACATAATGTTTGCAGAAACAGTTATTGTCCAATTCATGTTTCCAAAATTCATTTTCACTCTTGGATTCTACCTCTAAATATAAATCTCTTCCTCCTTCCTTGTCCTGTTCTCTCTATATATAGCACGCCCACATGTGATAAAGCCTTCTGCCTTAGCAGTAAGACAGGAGAAGCGGAGCGGGGGGACTTATTAGCCAACCTGTCGGAGCAGTGAAGGCACTTGGCTGCAGCTCATAATGCTCCAAAGTTATAATTATGACATGCATATTGAGTACTACACCTGCTACGTCTCTTTTGCTAAAATAAATAAAATACTTTCCTTAAATGCCACATAGCTCCCTATACTGGGAAACCTTCAGCCCATGAGGTCATCAGAGGGCTTCATGCTCGCCATCCTCTGCCTTCCAACATATGAGTCATGGTATTCTCTCTCTCTCTCTGTCTTTCCCTGCCCTTTTCTCTCTCTTCCAACCCTTTCCTATGAATATCCTCACAATCTCCTTTCCAATGCCCACCTTTTGCTTTCTTCTTGTATTTAAACTCTTTCTCCTGGATTTGTCTGATCCTTCTTTACCAATACCTGCAGATGTGATCTATTACAGTTAGTAGGTAGGGTTTTTCAAACAGGACTTTTCTTTGGTGAGGCTGTTGAGTTGGTCTTGACTTGAAGGATGTGCTCTGTAGGTGCTTTGCTAGCCATCCTTATCTCTGCAACATAATTTAGCATTCTGTTCAGCCACCGTATTATTTCTTTACTGAAAGAGTTCTTGTGTGTGTCTGTAACCACACTGCTGCCGTGTGCGGCCTAGACTGCTGCTGGTGACACCGCAAGAAAGATGTATTCAGTGTAGAGGCCTTTTTTTTTTTTTTTTTTTTTTTTGACCATCTGCTGGTGAAATGTTCCTATTGCTAAAATCTCTTCCATATAGAGAAACTGACCCAACACTGATTACTTGTCAGCAGCTGATGTCAACTGATGTCAAACAGGGACATGACCATTCTTTAACATAGCTACAGAAAGTAGTGTTGGATGTTTTGAGAATTGCATCTTCCATGTCTGCTAGCAGCAAATCAATTTTTAAGCGGGTAAGGAAGACCTTTTCTGACTGTTGTCAACAATGATCACTTTCCTATTGTAAAAGGGAACCCTAAGAAATACTTGAGCTCAGCAGAAATATCTCATTGATAGTCACTCCTCAAGTTCTCATTTCTTTTGTTACTGGTGGTGGATTTTGCGGCCTTCTAAATCACCACAGACTCTTGCCTTTGCAGCCACATAACTTGATGTCTCTCTGTGAACCAATGCGTACATGCTAAGAGATGGCTAAAGGGTACAAAATTCCTGTAGTTTGTACTTCAAGCAATGTCATGTAGTGATTAGGGAAATGGAGTATGACTCCCACTTTGCCTTTGACTTCATATATAAGGCAAGTGAGTTTAGGTAAATGAATTTGGTTGCATGGAATTGGTTATTTAACCATACATAGCAGGAGAAGTATTCAGGAATGCTTAACAGCCAGAATTCCATTGATAGCCTCAGAATCCACAGCTGTTCATCCCCTTTTGAATCCAAAACATTTTACATAGATAACAACAAATAATGAATGTTAGAATATAAATTCGAAAATATCCACCATATAATCTTTTTGCTTGAATTGCTGGAGGAAAAAAAAACAAAAAATCCCACAACATTATTTTCCCCATAGTAGCATAATGTGTTTATACATCCTGAAGAGATAAGTGATGTGTGACAGCAAGAAGTTTGTGTATATAAAGTCGTACATATTTTAATGTAAGAACAAAACCCAGTGACTAAAAGAAAAGAGTCAGGCTTGAAAAATAAATTTGGTAGCAGATGCAGAGTGCCACTACCATTAGGACAGGCTTTTATCCAAGAGAAGGGCTATTTCTCTGACGTCCACATGTGGTAGGATCCAATCACAGCAGGACTATTGCTTCTGACTGGTAGAAAAAAAAATTGGATATCAATAAATCCTAGTCCTTCCCAATGTACAGGGTGACTTACAGGGGATTCAAGAAGAAATCAGCATCTGTTAAAAATTAATTGTGCTTAATTTTGTTTCCTTCTATAACTGTTCTAATAAAAGCTTGGGAGGGACAGGACAGATTTAGAGATTTTAATGGCAATTCTTATCTTTCAGGCATCGGATCTCCAAATCTAAGTTTAGGTAAGTAAAGCAGATTTTTATGTTCTTAGTTTCCACTGTTTTTTTCCCTTAATTTTTAATGGTTTTATTCCTATATCTGTGTGCCAGAAATTATTCATCTCCCTCAAATCAACATTCATTTTTCTCTGTTTCACAGTGAAGCACAGTACAGGGACTCTTGAGTGCATTTCACTCAGGAGTATGAATCTAATTGCCACCTAAAAGACTTGAGCCATAAAATATAAAAGAAAAAAGGTCTGACTAATCATCCTATGTCCATCAGCATCAACCCTATCAGCTCAAAGTTCTTGTTTTCTACACTGCCTTCAGTACTCTATTCTGCCTGGTCTTAAATCTCTCAACTGTTGAGATTTGCATCATCAAATTATTTGTAGAATGCTTCATTTCACCATATGAGACTGGGAGCTTTTCTGGTGGTGCTCAGTTCTCTGTTGTCTTATAGCTGACATGAAGCAGTCCCAGGCTAATCGTTCATGTGTTTCTATTGGAAGGACTGAATGACTTCATGGTGCTTGCTTGTTGTCTTCACAGTCCATTCCTACCTCTTCAGTAGGAGCCCAGCTGTAACTCGGAATTAGAAGTCAACTTTATAAAAAAGTAAATTAACTTTCACAGTAACAGGGACAAACAACTGGGTAACTGTCCTTCAGCTTATCTGGGTAACAACAGTAATGTAAATTTGGGAATCCATATAGTGCATACATACTATAAATATGCGTACATGTACAGAGTTACATAAGTGATCACATTCCTGTCATCCATGCATTACTGTGTAGGTATAAGCATGAGAAAACAACTTGTATCATCACATGGTCACATATATGTACACTAGTGCACAGTATTTGGGATCAATAGTGCAGGGTGTGTGGGATCACAACACGAATGCCTAATTGATATGAGCATTTTTTGAATGTTGGGAATACTATTTCTTTTTCCCAGTCCACTGCAAAACACACAACCCTGGCTAAACTTGGGTTTCCTAGACTAGATGCTATAAAAAACTGCATAGCTAAAAACAACTTGGATCTTATAAAAATTGCTGCAAAATTCTTGAGAGGTGTGCAATGTTCAAATTGCCTGGCACTAGTTTATCTAGGTGTTGAACCCTCACCTCAAGCACAGTCATAATTTATCACTGGAAATAATATCAAAGAGAAGTTCTCCCCTCAATTTTCCACTTTTGTCCTGTAATGCTCTGTATGTATCTGTGTCTACAGACAAGCATATACATATGCACGAACCACTATGTGTATATAATATCTATATAAAACTATTAGTTTTATTATACAGTGGCAAGTGTTGCCTGGAAACTGGTTGCTATGCAAGTTAAATTCTGAAGAGTAGGAGGTGTGTAATTAGCTTTAAATATCTTCTGTAGTTAGTAATTACCCGCAGAAATCAGTGACACAAGGGGATGTGCTCACGGAAGGCAAACTTTTAAAAGGTCTGTTGATTAGCAAATGGTATCCTTAGTTCCAGGCATGAAGCTGTGGTGCTGAGGTCCCCTAAATTTTGGTTTTCTGTTCATAGTTAGCCCTCAGATTTCAACCTGGTCCTGAGCTTTGCTGAATATTGGAAACTCACTTGAGGTTTTATTTGACCTCATCTTTCTAAGAGTTTTATCCCAAGGTCCATAGTAGACTGTGAACATTTTTTCATTAGCTATGCTCATGCTGGGACAGGTCCCATTTCAGGCCACAAGCATTAAATACAAGAAGAATAATGATTTCTGTGAGACCTGGGCTAAAAGACCTCACAGGGTAGTGGTGATGGATGTCTTAATCGGATTAAGACCTTGCTTGAAGAGGTTCATTCATCCTTAAATGTTTCAAATTGACTTAGGGCTAACTTTATTCCTGTAGCTAAAGGAAAAATGACCAGAACTGTTGACTTGGATAAAAATTAAGGAATACTTCTCTGGATTAACTTTAAAGTTATTCTCTACTAGCCATGGACAATGAATCTGGACTAGAGTTGACAGAGAGATTTGCGATAGACTAAGAAGCCCCTTCTGAAAAGTGCTTTTTCTTTGCTAATTTTTCAAGCCGCTATTGGCGCCGATGGAATCGATTCTGCAGAAGAAAATGCCGAGCTGCCGTCAAGTCCAATGTTTTCTACTGGTTGGTGATCTTCCTTGTGTTTCTCAACACTCTTACCATTGCCTCTGAACACTACAACCAGCCAGACTGGCTCACTGAGGTCCAAGGTGAGGAGAGGCTAGTGGTTCTGCTCATTAACATCAGTATCAAGAAAGAGGAATGAGGGAGGAGCTGATGCATTAAGATGGCCACATAGTGAAAAGGAGTATTACACAGCTGCGAAGATACTCCTCTGTCTGCAGAGAAACTAAATTTCACAGTGAAAAACCTGCCTGCATTAAGAGAGGTTTCTGGGAATGCATAGGTTCCTACTTTGCAACTGAGGCAGAGTTTCAATGGGTGCAGCTGACAGCAGAAGCTTATACTACATATATCTGCATCGGTTGAAATTCCAATTTATGGAGGACTGTTGGGAGCCACAGGTCCTCCACGGGTTCCCCTGAAATAGCAAGTAATGATAACTTCTAGTTACTAGAGAGGTGAGGAAGAAAAAATGATTTGTAAAGTTCTTCTCTGTCTGCAGAACAGCTGAGTCCTCACTGGAGGTAAGAGCAGCTGAAAGGCTTAATTAAGCAACAGCAGGTATCACAGCAGCTCTTCTGTTCCCACTCTCATCTGCAGATGACAATTATGAGGGGAGGCTGTGCACAGGAAGGCACACTCCTGCCATGGAGGTTGTGTGGTTGTATAATACATCACAGCTGTATATGTGATACATAAGCCTGTAAGCATCTTTGTAAAACATTTCAGAGAATGAGATGGCCACAGTGTGAAGGTCATTCTTTGACCCAAGCTTAGTTGAGATTGCTCTTTCAGATTATTCCCAGAAGGGGTTTCTCATAGGCAAGGATTGATGGTTGGCTATGATGCTTTTCTGTCTAAGTTTCATTAATGTGTTTCTGTTTCCTTTTCATGAGACACTGCCAATAAGGTGCTGCTAGCTCTTTTCACGGCAGAGATGCTGCTGAAGATGTATAGCCTTGGTCTCCAGGCCTATTTTGTGTCCCTCTTCAACCGTTTTGACTGTTTCATTGTGTGTGGAGGAATCCTGGAAACAATTCTGGTTGAGACAAAGATCATGTCACCGCTGGGCATTTCGGTGTTGAGATGTGTTCGACTCCTAAGAATATTTAAAATCACAAGGTACTTTTTTGCTTCTTGGAGGGCATCTTTGGAAATGAAGGAGGGCTGCTTCCAAGTGCACAACACATGGTAGAAGACACATGCCTGTCTTTTCACTTTTTCTACCATTAAATTGGATAGTGAGAGTACTAGGTTTATGGTCTCCATTCTCTGAAGACTGGTGCTGGGTCGGGAGGGTTGCATGACTGTGATGTAGGTGGCAAGGACTGGGACAAAATCTGGCAAAGCAGGTTGGGGACACTTTAAAACAAGCAGATTCATTTAACTGAAAATTGTGGGGATAGAAGAGCTGAACTTAGACTTTTAAGTGTTGCCTACAAAAGAAGAAGTGAAAATAAAAGAGCAGATAGCCTTGTCATCTTTTATATGACCTTATGGTGATAGAGAGGTGCTCGAAAGACTGTTCTGAGCAAAAACATTTGAGGAGCCCATGCCAACATCGGGAGACTCAGCAGTGTCCTGAGAGGTAGATAGTGTCAACACCAACAGCTAAAGGCAAAAGATTTTGCCAGCCTTTCTTCTCCTTCAAAGGAGCAGTGTGTTAGGAGGGGTTCTGGGAAGAAGCCAGACATTTCCAGTGTCCAGTTTTCCCTCTTTTTCCTTTCCCTTGTATGTATATCTTCTGCATAAGTGTGCCTATGAGCTGCTTCCTGGACTTAGGCATCTCCAAAACACTAGCTAGATTTCGCAGGGTTTTTCAGCTTGGGTGTTAGTCATAGGAGAGGTTAGTTTCTGACTTGCCCAAATGGAAGCTCTTGGAACAAACCTACCAAGGTGGTCCCCAGTGCAGCACAAGGCTGGCCTTTTCCCACATGGATGGATGCCAGTCAGTGTTTATAAAAAGCTTGATTAAGGTGGTGAAAGAGTGAATCTTCTGCAAGCCTCGGTTATGAAAATGTCCCTGGAATCACTTTGAACTCCTCCCAAAAGAAATTTCACACAAACTCAGGATAAAAAACACTAAGCATGACAAAAGCATGACCAGAACTAGAAGATTGTTAAGACGGCAGAGTTTTGAAGCAGAAAAAAAAAATCAGACTTGGATTCTAGAAACATGTAAGATTTACCCTTAAAGCTTCTGAATTCTTTGTCAGGGTGGATGGCTTTCAAGGTCAGGTGGTAGACAGAAAATCAGTCTGCAATCTAAGAGACAGTGGCAAAATCAAGCTTACAATTATCAAAAGAAATAAAAATGGTCTATGTAGAAGAGTGATCATAGGAGAGAGAAAAATGTTCCAACTAAGAAGAGTTTTCAGCAAGGAAGGCATCTTTGCCCTTTTAGAAATAGTGGGGAGTTCTGATCTGGTGACTGTGGTTTTTGGATGTTTGGGTCCAAAAGTTATCATCACTGAGTTCCAGGCTTGGTTCCTGGGGAAACCAATAGCTATTCCAGGCATTAAGTGATCAGATACACCAGGGCATCACACCAACAGCTCTAAAAACATAACAATTAGCACAGCATCCTGAAGAGGTGGTTGTTTTTTCAGCACTTTTCTCCTACACAAAGTATATAATCTAGTTAGGAGAATTCTCTAATTAAAAGGCAAATATTAAGACGATATCACTCATACTTTAGGAAGGTTTAGATATTGGTATATTCAAATATTACAAAAGCTTCTGACAGTGATTGAATGTAGGAACCAACCAGCCATAGGACTAGTTACATTTATCTTCATCCTGCAGGGGAAGTACAATACAGTTCTACATGGCAGTAAATGTTATCTGAAGTGCATGTCCTGTAATTTGTGCAGAGGCCTATGTGTAAAGCGCAGTAAGAGCTCAGGAATAATGAATAATGTATTAATCGGTTTTTGCCTCCTTTCCTGTTCCTAAAATATTGGCAAGTAGGTTGCAGTAGTCTCAGATTTATCTGTGTTTTTTAATTTTCTTCATGATTTTTCCCCTGCATGGGTGAAGTTCACCCTCATGAGGAAGGCCTTAGTGCAAGTCAGCAAGCAGTACTTTAGGCCCACTCATGTCTGACTGCAGGAGAGAATGTTCTAACATTAATGCTTAGCTTTTATTTCTGAGGTTCTCTGTTAAAATACATTTTCTTTCATTATTCACTCAGCTCTAAACACAGTGGTAATTTAGTGACACTGACATTATCAGTGCTGGTAGACTATGTCACTGTAGGGCAATGATGGTACAGAAAGATACAGTCCTGGAAAGGTGGGAGGGGTAGGACACATGACAATGTAATAGTTTATGTCAAATATATATTCATAAGCAGTAACATATTGACATACAATGGGGATGGAAATGGCACAAAGCAGGGAAATTACTCTAGTGAGTATGTATCAATATGTAGCCTATTGTTTATATTTCTGTGTAGATTTTCTGTGGTGAGTATCAAACACAAACAAATTCTGGTTGCGTTAAGGAGACACACACTTCTAGCAGAAGCATGAATAAAGCTCCATAATACTATCCCATCCATCGGATGAACAACATATAATTTTAGAAAACCACGGTCAGAATTTCAAGAATATTTCTTTCAAGATCATAAGTACTATTCAGAATTGTTTCCTCCTGTGCATTAGACAAGCGGTCAAAATAATCTATTTATTTTATTGTCCTTAATATTTACAGGGCTGTCCAGAAAATCTTCCTTTGCTGAGAGAAGATAAATGATTGTCTCTTTATATGCGGTTCTTTAATGCTTTATAAGTCCCTATATTTATTCCATTATATCCTGCTGATAAATCAATTTATTCACAAGAGTATACTGAAATTAAATATTTTAAACCCAAATGCCCCCACTAAATGCTTGTGGATATCTCTCTGCTCTCTTGGGGAAGAGAGACAGGACCCCCTTTCCTGTACTTACGTTCAGAGTGGTGTTATATTGGACAAGCAGTGTGGGAAGCTTTACTACAAGGAGCCTGCCAGCTATTGCTACTGTTTTAAGCTCTGCGTTTGCCAATACCATAAAATCATAGTGGAAGGCAATAAGTGGAGAGGGAAGAGAACAAGGAAACACATTAGGTTCTAATCCAGTTCTGCAATTTGGTTTTGTGTGAGATGTTGAACAAACCATGTAACTGCTCTGTATCTTATTCCTCTCTTTTAAAACACGAACATATTCATGGCTTACTCAGTGGAATGGCACAGTGACTTATGCACTGGCATCTTCACGGACCTGAGCTGCTCAAGTGGGAGATGTCAAGAAACACATTTGTTTTCCTAGAAGTCTGATGAAGCAGCGATTCTTTCTCTTGTATCTCCTATTTTGTGCTGACTGGTCCAAAATCGCTGATTTTGTGCAGTAGTGCCCCACTCCCCACCCCTTTGTAGTGTATTAACAAAAGAGCATGGAGTGGTCAGGGATTTTTTCTTTGTCTGGGCTCCCTTCATTCCTGATGTAGAAGCTTGTGTTTTATTGAGTCACCCCAGATCTCTCTTTGCAGCTGGTTCTTCAACCTGCTAGAGTGACATATGGTAACTACAGGCTTCTAGGACACTAAGATAAGATCTCCATTAGTTCTGCTTTTTAGTCAAGTCAAGCCCTGCTTCCTTTAATATTTTCTTCTCTCCTTTTTTTGCGGGGGGAGCATCAATTTGCTTGCTTTTCAATGATGCTGTATTTCTAATTAGCACACAGAACACAGATGAAATAGCAGGAATCTTATCACCAGATCATCTCAGTTAAATGCTTTAAAGTTTCATTGTTGCATAAAAAGCTGAATCTGAAGCAAAAGAGTCTCAGACACTTATAAGAAGTGAAGATCTCATAAAAGTCTGTGCAGGCATGTTTTGAGATAGTAAAGCATCTAAGCTTCAAGTGAGTCACTGGGATTATTCACATTTGTGGTGACATTATTCTGTGCCCTTAAGGGCATTGCTGGATTGAGACCTAGAAAATGTGTGTCCTGGCAGACATCAGAGGACTTACTTAGGGAGATATTCAGTACCCTCTCAGTTCCCCGTATAAGACTGCTAAAGCCAGGGAGGTTCCATCAGGAATAAATTCATCCCCTTTTCTTTAGTCCCGCATACTTCCAAAGTGTAAATGCAAACACAGAGAGCTGTTAAGTTGCACATTCAATGGGAACATTTGGTAGCATTGAGCCTGCAGCTTCCATGCCTTTACCTTTACTCCGTAGTTTTACATTGCTCATCTCTTTAATTGCAGTTAAAGTTTAAAGCATTTTAGTTTCTGTGAAGTGCTGAAACTAGGCTGGAGGGAAAACATCACAGTTCTCTTTGAAGCTCAGCCTCTGGAGATGAACTAGTTGCTGAACTTCAGAGGACCTGGCAGAGTGCCTCTGCAGATCAGATTGCTAACCTTTACAAACTGATTGGGCTGTTCTAACATTCCTGTCTCCCATGGAAGAAGGAAAGCCTTGTTTTTACCTTGACTTTTGGGGAATATTAATTTATCTGGGATTTTAAGTGCATTTGTTTCTAATGACTACACTGCCTGCAGAACAGACAGATTTCTATGTTGAAGGATCTGACTTCCACAGAGGAGTGAAGCACTAGACATGTCTGCCATCCTTCTCACATGGAACTTCTGTCTCTGTGGAAAATATGTCTAGAAGTTGAGAATCCCTTAAAGAAAGAAAGATCCACTGTTACAGGCTTTAGAAGAAGGGAGCAGAGAAAGTTGTCTGGGTGGGAAGCACAAAGCATGGTGGTAGGCTGGATGAAATGATGCTAAAAGGAAGATACAAGATACAGTGTCGGTTTTGGTCATTGTGATCAGCAGGTGCCTTGGTGCCCTGGGGATTCTGGAAATGTCCAGGCCAACTGTCTTTGAACCCATTGCTAAGGCCTGTTCCATAGCCTGCCTAGGAAGTGTTGTAGGTTTGTTACCCAAGAGGCAGTGATACTTTGCTCACCCAACATTGAAGGGAGCTCAGGACCTTACGGATGTAGATCTGGAGTCTCTCTTTTAGGGTCCATATAAAACAAGCACTGAAAAGGGAGAAGGACCTTTAATATCTCCCTCTTTCTTCTCAGTTACAGGAAGCTTAGCAGCCTCTATCCATGAATGAGCACAAGTGCATATACACGCACACTAGCTTTTGGACAAGTCTGTATTTGCATCCAAAATGTTTCCCCATCTGTTCCTGTTAGTTATTACAGGCCATTCTCTAGAGTGAGGTATTCTGGCTGCCATAACATCTGTGAGTGTTGTAATGAGGTTGGTGAGAATGTAACTCACTGAAGCAGCAAGAACTAATCACCGTATATTGATAGAAGATTTGCAGAGCCTTAGATGGAGAGTGCTGCAATAATCTTCTGGGTGTGTGTGTGTCGTGGGGGGTGGAGGGAATTGTGTATGTACATGCGTGGTGGTAAAATTACTCATTAGCTGCAGTAGGTCTCATTATCTTAGGGAAGCACATCAATGATTCACTGCCTAACAGGGTGTTTGGAAATGCCTGCTTATATGCAGAAGGCAGTCTGAACCAATATCCTCTGCAGTCCATGAGCACCTGTTTTGGAGTGAAGAAATTTTAACTGCATCTCTTTTCTCTCCCAGATATTGGAATTCACTGAGTAACCTTGTGGCTTCACTCCTGAACTCAGTTCGCTCCATTGCATCCCTGTTGCTGCTTCTCTTCCTCTTCATTATCATCTTCTCTCTCCTGGGAATGCAACTCTTTGGGGGCAAGTTTAACTTTGATGAGATGCAGACCAGAAGGAGTACATTTGACAACTTCCCCCAGTCCCTCCTCACTGTGTTTCAGGTAAGGGCAAGAGCAGTTCTGCTGAGGCCAAGACATTGTGCTCGCACTGGGGAAGAGGGAGAAAGCAGGTCTTGCACCCTTCCTCTGCAGGCTCACAGTGCCTGAGACTGGAAATTAGGCTAACAACATTAACAGACAGGCAGCGGGCTGTGCTGTTGGAGCAGGGGTTCTCCTTCCCAGTGTTGGAAGTCCTCGTGTGCAGCGAGGCCTCCGGTGCTCAACAGGAAGGGTGACGGAATGGCCACTGCCATGTTCCTGGGCAGCACCTGCATGCCAGAGCCTACCCCCGCAGTGCTCTCCACTCACACAGTGCTGGGGACAACACGTGTGTCCACAGCACCACAACAAACATCATATGCTCTTTAAGCTGACTGCTATTTTCAGTCAAGAGCATCAGGATCATGACTGCACTTGCACCTGGAAGTAGAAGGGAAGGCTGCACTAAGTGCTGTCTTGAGTGCCATGGCTTGCACAGCCTGTCTGAAAGAGTCAGCATGTGGGAGAGAAATGCCTGGGAGGAGTGGGGAGACCTGAACAGAGTTGTCTTGCATAGCTCTTTGGTTTCAAGCATCAGTTCTCAAGGAGACATCTCAGGTTTCTTAGCACTTATGACAAGCCCACTTTGCATTCTCTCTTTTTTTCTTTTTTTTTCTTTATATTTTCTATCTCGGCACCTCCAGAGTGCCCAACAGCTGGGGGGAAGATGTGGTCTGTAGGACAGTAAGATATCTTTGTGTTAATAGGTTTTTCAAATTCTCTGTGTGGTCTAACACTGTATCCCTATTGGTGGGAATGTGTCATTTAGATCCTGACTGGGGAGGACTGGAATTCGGTGATGTATGATGGGATCATGGCTTATGGCGGCCCCTCTTTTCCAGGAATGTTGGTCTGTATTTACTTCATCATCCTCTTCATCTGTGGAAATTGTATCCTTTGATGTTATCTTTCTCCAATTCAGGCTGAATTTAAAGCCATCCTTTACTACTTTGTCATGTCAGTAAATAATGAATTTCATGCCTTACATCTTTACCTTTTCCTGAGGACTGAATTTTGGCTTTGCACTGCCAAAAGTTAAACAAGTTTGTTTAATTTTAGCTAGTGCTAAGCCTTAAAGCACATAAACAGTTGTAAGAGCCAGCTACATGCCAGTTCCACATGCCAGCTTTTATTTAGTAACTTTATATGTTTAGTGGTTTTATTTTTTATTCCCCTTAATTCCCCCCATGAGTTTTTCTTCTCTGCCTTCTCTAGAAACTAATCGCTATGTCTACCTACTGCACTTACCGAGTATTTTTGCTTTAATTGCCTTTTCAGCAATATATTCCATGTGCTTTCATCCAAACCTTATGTGGAACAAAAATATAATCTACAATATGCTATATACAAATGCTATAATAGGAGTAACATATGTTTGACAATTGATCTATGTGAGATCATATATTAACTCATGTATAAACTAAGAGGAACCATGTTCCATTTCACTTTTTGCAATCCTTGTGTACAAAGAGAAGATTGTGTGCTCTGTTATGCACTAGCCTGAGCTGGTGTTAAGTAACTTGAGTCTCTATGGCTTCACGGTGAAGTGATGACATTGTGCATATCCCAGCAGGTACAAAGCACATTGCATGAGTAGTCTCTGAGTGTCTTTTAATAAGAATTTGTTTGTAACATATGACTATAGTTCTGTTCTATATCTCAGTTTGCTCCAGATTTGTTCATGTGTAGTTTCTTCTTCGCTAATAAATAGCCCTCCTGAGTCAGAGGTGACATTTCTTGTGTACTGATTCTTCTACAAAGCCAGCTCTTTTGGCCTTTTCTCATAATTCAGATCTCTCAAACCCTGTTATTTGACATTTCAGTTGACCTACATGCCCTCTCTTCAAAGTGAGATGGTGCAATTCCATTTATCTGAAGGTCAAGTGAGACAGTCTGCCTGACAGCTCAAAAAAAAAGGTACAATTTGGATCTCTCTGTAAGTACAAAGGAAAATGTGAGCTAGCTTTGCATGCTGGCTGGCTCTGGAGCCATTAGTCCCTGAAGCCCAGGGAGTGGGTTGGTTATACTTCAAGACTAACCCTTGAACTGGAAATTATTATTATAATAAAGTTATTAGGGTATAATAAGACCCACTCTCAATGAATTTGTAGAAGAAGCTGATGTTCAGATTTGTAACATGAGAACTGAACATTGACTGACAGAACAAGAAAGAAGTTGTGATTTCTTGCCCTTCAGCTGCCCATGCAAGCCTGGTTGATAATGTATCTTCCACGCATGTGGTCTGTTAGGAAACAGTAGGGGTAGGGTTACGTGCTTGTCCATTCAATGCCTCAAATCCCGAAGGAATGCTTACTGCCCGCTAGGTCCACTCGTGTCTGCAGGAGTGCCTATAATGAGCTTGTACAACTTGAGTACATAAGCTAAAGCCAAGAAGCTGAGGTAACTAGTATTATGAAGTTTTTGAATATGTATTTAGGTGCTTTAATAAAAATGACCTAAGCTGTCAAAGATGCAGAACATTGACAGTTCCCCTTATCTTCGATGGGATTTGCTGAACTAAGTGACACTCTTTTGAGAAACCACAAACCAAAGTGTAAGTGTTCAAGTCTGGACTTGGATGCTTTATATCGATATGGAAACTCCATACCGTGTGTTGGCCATTTGGATGGAAGGTGTAGGTTTGTGCATACTGGATATGCACATCTTGAACATTTGTGTGGACTGGAAGTTTGGAAAATCCAGGAGATGTGATGACAGCTTGCTAAAAAATTTCAATCAAGACACCCTTGGTACAATGTTGTTCTGCAGTTTTCAAAGCCTGTTTTCTTTAAATAAATTGGCCATTGCCGTGGACAACCTTGCTGATGCTGAGAGTTTAACATCTGCACAGAAAGAGGAGGAAGAGGAGAAAGAAAGGAAAAAACTAGCTAGGTAAACCCATATGTATACACATATCTACATTCATATTCATGCATTTCTGTATGTGTGTATACACACACATTCTGCACAAATATGTGTGGTTATGTATGCATGTTAAGTATAGCTTCTCTGAGAATATATGCATAAAAATACATATATACGACATATATAAATAATTATTTACATATAATGTTTTGAATAAAATAATTGAAACTGAAAGACAAAAAGGTCTTCAGAGTTGGGAGTCCCCACAATTGTGACGATTTGAGCAGAAGAAAGAAGCTCTGGGTGACAGAGGAGCTCTCAGAGTGTCTGTGGAGAAAAGGCATGAAAGGGTGTCAGTATGATAATGCCATTTCAGTCTCCTTATTACCTTCTGATTGCTCTGCACCACAAGGCACGTTCTCAGATTGTCATTCCCATGACACAAGATTCAGCTTTTTTTTTTTCTCTTTGACGCCACATGCTGTTCTCCTCCTTTCAGTTCTCTTGATGTTTCTGCAGACTCTTGGGAGGCGTGAGCTGGGTGTAGAGCTTCTTTCACTCCCAGCTGCCAACAGCGGGGAAGCCTCTCCCTGCTCCCCAGCTCCTTAATTCTATTCACTCTTCCAGGCAGTTTGGAGGAGGTTGTTCTGCTTTGTACCGCACACCAGTCAGCAGGGTTTCCACGACTCTGGGAGTGGGGCAAGGGGCAAACTGTGACCCCAGAAAAGTTGGTAGGCAACCTAATGGTAGATCACAAACTCTGGGCTGAAGAAAGTTCGTGCTTTTGTCATTGGGTAGAACTGTGTGAATGAAGACAAGATCTCTGGTCACAGATTTAGAATATGCATGTGCACAAACACACAGGCACATACTGTCTACCACCCACATGCACACACAAAGAAATACATGCCAGTGAGAAAGCTACAAAATAAAAAGATGCTGCAGAGAATTAGATCAATTTCCTGCCTTTGCAAATGATTAAAAGGTGGGATCGGTATGTAGGCTAGGCTCAGGTCGGACATGCCAGCCAGCTGAGTGGTTCTTAATGTGTGCTGTACTACGTGAACTTTCTGAAAGGGAAACAGCTTTTCACCTTTGTAATTGCTTGCTTTTTATCTTGTCAAATTGTTAGGACTGCTAGTCCTGAAAAGAAACAGGAGATAGAAAAAGCAGCTGTGGAGGAGGAGACAAAGGAGGAGAAAATAGAGCTGAAATCGATCACTGCTGATGGAGAGTCGCCGCCTGCTACCAAGGTCTGCTGCCAGCCACCGCTCTCTGTGCAGTGATGGCAAGAACAGCCTGGGTTTGTGGGGGAATGAAAACCCTCTTTCTTGTCTGATAAAGGCTTTGCCACTTCTTCTTCCATTTCTGTCAGATCAACGTAGATGACTATCAGCCCAATGAAAATGAAGAAAAGAGCCCATATCCCACAACAGAGGCACCAGGTATTTTTTTTTGTTTCTTCTTATCCCTGATTCAGGAGAGAGAAGCTCCGGTTCCTAATGCACATGGAACCAAATCTCTCTCTGTCTGGCACAGTCCGAAGGCAGCAGGTGTGCTGAGCTTTTATTGCCTTCGTGATGGGACAAGGTGATGTGCCTGCCTGCGTTTGCAGGAGTATGGACTTTATCCATTTCAGTGCCTTAAACTAATTAACAACATTTTTTTTCTCTGTAAAGCACACGTTATATAACTTATGTATATTTTCAATCTTTTCAGTACTTTTTCAGTACTCAGTGTTCAGCGAAAACTCTTAACAGATACTTATGAAAGCCAAAGTGCTGACTCCCCTGTTTTGCACAACTTATCTTTTTCTCAAATTACCAATTTATTGATGTGACATTAATATAATACAAAAAGCACAAGCTT